TGACCATTTCTTCAAGACTATATTGAGACTGTTGAGTTCTTTATTTATTCAGGGATATTTGACCTTCTCTTTCTGGGGTAACAGGCTCTTGCTGCTTCTGATTTTCTATTGCATTGATAGAATCAAGGCAGGAGAGGCACAGGCAATTCCCATGGTGGCAAATGAAGAACCATTGCTTCATCAGGGATTTTTACAATTTCTGGGAAGATAACGTACCATTTCTGTAGGCAACATTTGCACAATTTTTGACTTATAGTTCACATAAATACATGACTACTGTTGTCTGTCAATCCATCAATAACTGTATGAACAGGAAGATAAGACTAATGGCTTGGATGCTGAATGAAACAGCCTCAGTTCCTTTTTGTGGGGGACTGACTTCCTTCTCACTCCCATAACCTACGCTGTGGCAAGTGCTGCCATGAGTTGTTGTGCATAGAATTAGACATTCACAGTGACTTAAAGGGGTGGGATCTGACCCTCATTAGGTCTTATTCCATTGTGTATTCATATTATTATAAATGAGTGCTACACAGATAAAATTATAGAATGTTAGCATTAATAAAAACTATATATACACATATATATGTGTATTTTAAGATAAAATCAGTTTGCTAGGTTAGACAGAAATAAATCCTATCAGAAAACGTCTGTCAGCTCCAGCCAGCAGAAAAATTAACTGACTCTTGTTATATAGGAAGGAGTGTGTTTCCTTGGTTATTATTCTCACATTTAAGATTGCAAATTAACGTTTGAGATGTTAATATCAAAATTTGTTAGATTTTATTCTTATAAAGCTCTAAGACTAGCATTTTTTAAATTCCTGGGTCAGATTTACATGGAGACCTGCACCAAAGAACCACAACATCCACTCCATATGTTACAGTTTTGGCCCTGTTATGTATCTGTACACATATATGCCTTTATTGTGCACTAATTTATTTTTTTCCTGACTGTTGTAGCATTCAGAAGAATAAAGCATAATGAAAATATCAAAGTGGTGAGAAATTTCAGGCTTTACTTTGAAGACATCTGAAAGGAATATTAGCAATATACACTTAGAAGTTTGAATTGAGTTGAACTTTCATTAAGATGCTTCTACTTTCCTTTCTCTGATGAAGACTTTGGGTACCATCCAGATTTTCTCTTCTTATTAAAGTATCCTTAGGCAGAATCTGAACCCTGTTTGGGGAACAGAAAGGGAATGCAGGTGTCTGGATATACATCTTGTGGAAACCTGTCTTCCTTGCTTGTGACAGTAGAGAGAGAATATTTCCTGAATGAATTTGGACTATGCTGGAGTATAAGTATTTTCTCATACTCTTTAAATAAAAAAAAATCATAAAAATATGAATATAGATAACTGTGAATTTTACACACCTATGGTGTAGAATGAAATATAAAAAGTCACCTTAATTCTGTATGTACAATGCGAATTTGAACAGAACTTGAAACGGCTTAATTAACTCTTCTTCTAACCCTCTTGATTTAATTAGCATTAGACCATGCATTAATTCATCTAAATATTGTTTACATCTGCATTGTAAACTCAGCCATTTTAATACATCTGCATATCACCTGTAACATATAAAATAATAGAAGGACATCAGAAAACTTGCGATTAAAAGGCTTATATTTCACTGGTTTAAAATATAAAAATTCAAAATAAAAATTCAATTCATGCTTAAACCCCCAAAATTATGGATATAACATCTGCTATTTTGCAATCTTGTTTGTGCAGGCAACATGTTTTGATACAATACTGATTTAATAAAAATAGATTTTTTTAAAACACTATCTAAACTGTAGGCTCATCTGTTTACAACATCACTTTTGCTGCAAGCATCTAGCTACAAAAAATAGTGTAATCAGATTTTCAGTGTTCTAGACAGTCACGGAAATTATGCATTGAAACTCAAAGGTGCAATTTTTGTATACTTTTATTCCTCCAGAGGTTGAGGGACCTTGGAGGGTGCCATTAAGAAGTCAGGTCCTATCAGGAGCTAACCACATGATGGTTGTTGAGGAATTACTGAGCAATCCCAATGATTGGAGTATTGCAGCGCATTAACTGTTAAACAAGTGATAAATGTTCATCTGCTCCATCTGTTTCTCCAAATGTTCATGTAGTAGGCATTGGGATCCTCATCTTGATCATTTCCTAGGTGCTAAAATAATATAAACAAATTAAACAATGTAAAAAAAAATGCTGCTAAAATTAAAAACCTTAAAAATTGATCTTTGTTCACTACCTATGTTCTTGAAAACCCTTCAGACTGCTGCTGACAAACAGGGAGGTCATTTGGATCCAGCTCCCCCAAATATTTGTCCTACTCCTCTCATAGTTTCCCACGTATCCCAAGATGTTGAAATATCCAACCAGCAGTTCCACGCTGAACAGCTCAGTGTTTTTAACTGGTTAGTGGTGCATATTTCTGTCCTTAAATGTAAACTAGCCGTTAACAATATCTCTTTAGCTGTTTCTCTAGCAGATCAGTTTTCTCTGCAATGGCAGCTGAATCCCTCAGGTGTGGAGCCTCCCCTAAGCACTGCATGCAAAGGAGATGGTATAAACCATTTCCCTCTGTCAGAGTCTTTATTTTGAAACATGTTAGCAGCAGTACTACAGGAAGGTGAACAGCTCTGATCACTCCATGTGGATTAAAGCAAAATCCTGTTTGCCTCATCAATTTGAATAAAGAGTTTTTACAAATATGCAGCCCATTACTCAGTTAAAATGCTTCCTCCATGTTTTGATTTAATTACAAGAATAAAAAAATATTAAAACCTTTCTCATCGAATCCAAGTTTTCCTCCAGGCAATCCTTGTCTATCACTAATCCCAATTAGTGTGTTCTTGTTTACTCAATGACAGTTTAAAATAAACTAGCATTTAAAAATCAGCTGTGACATAATTCCTGCTCCAGAGTTGAATAACAAAGGTAAAATAATCAGGTCCAGGCAGAGGGAATTATTTCTTTTATAGACCTGCAAAGACAGGTGGAAGGTCAAGTAGACTTCTGCTTTTCAGATGGTTTTTGTCATGGAGTGTCCCATAAACCGTATGATCCCTTCATGAATATTTGTTGTACAACAAAATTCTGTTGAGACCTCATGTGGAACTGAACTTGGAAATGAAGTGTATAAAGGAGAAAAAATCATATTCAAAGCCTCCTAAATGTATATTAGGTACCTGCATACCTAAACTTCTCTGGACTGGGAATTTAATGAACTCTTATTAGTTTGAATCTGCATAAAAATTTTAAAATGGACTTCCTTTGCTGAATTTACCACAGCCATGCCTAGATGGGACCTGACAGTACTTCAAAGACTCCAGTGCCACAGTAAGAAAGTGCAAATGATAACCCAGAGTGGATCTGGCTTCTAAGGCCTATTTAAGAAGTGAGATGAGAGTTTTACACACCTCCTCCTCCCTTGTCTCAGAGCTCTGATCATTAGATTTTTTCCATCCCTTTTTGTCAGGGAGGTCACTGGTAGTCAGAGAATTCTGGTCAGAAAGTGGAGTTGGTTCCTGCTGTGCTGTTGCTCATCACAACCCAGCCTGGTTTTTGGGAGCCAAGGGCTCTGGGTATCCCCTGCATTTTTCTCCATGCAGCTCTGGCCTCCAGGAAATTTGCCCACTGCTAGGACACTTCCTTCAGTCAAGACCTTCACTTTATTTTCAGTCCTCAAAGTCCTCTGCTTTCCCAACTTGAATATTGTATATGGGGAAGCACAGTCCATGATCAGCCTTCTAATTTTTAATTTTGGTTCCTTGTCTCTTTACCAACTAGAGGATTCGGCATGTGCTGCTTTGGTTCACTTCAGGTTTTATGAAAGGTAATAGAGGGAGTAGCAGATTTCTGCATGAATACTCAGAAGTTCAGTCTCAGACATCATGTCACACCAACCTTCATTCCAATTATCTGCCACCTGTTTGCATTTACACTCTGAACTACTTTCTCTACCAGCATGATCTCTATCTCTGCACTTGGGTGACATGTGACATGAGAATAGCATCACCAGCACTTAATTCCCAAGAGAACTGAGCTTTCAGTAGCAATCCAGGACTCCAATCACCTGTCCATGTGGTTTGCTTTGGACTTGAGGTCTCTTCACTAGCCCCAGATCCTAATAATCTTGTCTTGTACCACATTCTAAAGATAACCAGCTAAACTCCCACCAGATCTTCCTTACTGCTTGTTTCCTGTTTTTTCTCCACATTCAAGTACCTTTTATTGATTTTTCCTACAGGCAACATCACGGGTAATGCATTACATCTTACGCCTGGAGACTTCTGCTGAATTTTTAGCAGTATTACAAGGTTCCAGTGGGGTTCTCCTGGCCCTCTGCAACTCAGTTCCATGTTTGCCAAATTCATATAATATTCTTTTCAGTTAAGCAGTGTGCATAGAGGAGGGAATTATAAAGGATGAAAAACATAAGTATACCTTGGGGTTTATTTTTGAGCTTTATTGCAATGTTTTGAAGAATTCTGAGTGTGTTTTATTGTTAGCCTTTTAGAGAGAGTAGCTGAAAACAATATTAGCAAGTAAACATGTGAAGAAGTGCATGCTTTTTCAATGAGGGCTTATAAAGCAGCTTGAAATGCTAAGATCCTCTCTTCCAGCTCCCCAGATATCTTTGTATCTTCACTGTGTTCCAAATACCATCTGCTGCTGCTTATGTGCCTCATCATTGAAATGTAAACTGAAATTCCTCCACACTGGCACAACAAGTGCACACTGAAGAATATCTTCTTCTCTTGGAGAAAAATAAAACTAGAACCACACTACCATAGCAGTTATGGGATGTTAAATATTCATGGTGACCTGTGAGAAGTTCTTTTCTAAGCTTTGTAATGCAATAAACACAACTCTCATTTTTTTTGCTTTGGCTTAATTCACTGTTACATCTTCCACAAACTGAGTGGAATAATTCTTAACAGGGGAAATTCAGTGTAATGAACACATTAACTCTGTTTTGCTTAAGATTAAATACGGTTTCTCTCATGGCCAGGCAGCAGCCTTTATTTGTGGAAAGCTTCTGCACTCTCATGCTGCTGAGAACTTCCTCCATGCAGCCGACCAGAGGGCCAAGCAGCTTCTCTCCTTTGGCCTCCAGGCGCTTTAAGCCTACGGCGTTCATGAGGCACAAAATGCACAAAGTGCATTTTGATGTCAGACTGACTCTGAGTGGAAGATTTCAGTTAGCTCAGCAAACATTTTGATTATAATGCAATTCCGATTTTGAATAAAAGGGCCTAGAAAAGATCTTCTGGTGCTTGGGAAATGGCAGCTTTGAAACCAACTGTACTGTAAATCATCATTGCATATGTGTAGCTCGGTTATGGATATAGGTGTCTTCTGCTGAAACAGCATAATTTCTGTGACCTGTTGAGCTAGCTAGAAGAGGGAAAGTGGTCCATGACTGGGCTGGATTACTTCTGTCATCCCTCAGGTGCTGGAGCTTGTTGGTGTCTAACTGGCTCAGCAAATGTCAAGGAGGCTGTTTACTCACTGGTGGCATAGGACATTTAAACTGAGGTTTACAAATTTAGGATTGGAAACTGCTAAGTATTAAATATTAAATACATGTGGGAAAGTGGGATTTTTTTTCTGTTCTCTTCTTATCACCTTTAAGCTTTTCTCTGAAATTTTATGAGATAAAACTAAATTTTTAATTGCAGCTGGAATATTCTGGTATTTTAAAACTCTGTATATAAACACTTGAAAAAGAATAGCAATAAAGTGAAAAACATCAGTGGTAAAATACTTAGCCAATAATACTCTGTGTTCTTCTTATTTTTACATCTACTGGCTTTTGTTTGAATGAAGAATGTGGGACATTTGTACGTTGATCTGAAAAATGATAGCATTTTCCTTTTTGCTTATTCATCTGGAGAAGTTTTAACCCAGTTTCACTGAGTATGTCCTAAAACTTTTGACTAAGCTGCATTTAGTGGATTGGATTTGGGATAGTAGCTTCACATACCTAAGGAATGTTAAACTGATAAAATAATGCCAAGTCTTCTTATTTTATTTCCTATATCTTATTGTGAAATCAGCACTATAATTAGATATTTTGAAAATTTAATAGAACTTTCTTCCTTGAATTAATACAGACAGATCAGAGTGACAGCACTGAGTCAGGAGATGAAATATAAAAGGGATGGTGTAAACTACAAGGAGTCACTGTCTAACAGCAAATTTCTGTTTCTTGTAATAGGAACTGTCAAATAATTACACATTGCCTAGGGAGAATTCATCAGCTTGGTGCAACAAATAATGAAGCACATTATCAGGATAAGCACATGAATTAAGTTAGAATCTCAAAAAGTACAGAAGTTCAGTAATTCTTCTAGGAAATTCAATCTGCATTAGTAATTTCACCAAAATTAGGGCATGTAATAGGTCCCTTATTGCAGAATAATGGAATTGTCTTTAATAAAAAATAGAGGTTTGATTGTAGAGTGAAATGGCAGACTTTCATTGTTTTGGCTGTAATAAAGACAGATGCATGACATTATGTATTTAAAAAGATCATTTTTACTCACTAAAACAGTACACATTATATATGATATACATAGCAGCAGACTGATAGATTGCTGGGAAGACATAAAGAATGTCAGTTTGCATTAATACAATAGCATTACTTCAAATGGCCTCTGCCAATGTAAATGAGATAATATTCCTGGCTCTCAATCTGCTATATTTAAGCTGAGAAAGATACATTTATTCTTTTACATGCATTAGCACAATTTCCACTATAGTCAATGGGTCAAATTGCTCTTAAACACAGTTGCCCAACACCATCTATTTCAGCGTAGTGACAGCAGAATTTAGCCTGTTGGCTTGTCTGATGAAGAGACTTTCCTGCCATTTGCAGGCCAGACGAGCTGGCTTGTCCATTAGACCCGTGGCAGTTACACTTGTACAGTGCTCCATAATTCTTTTGATCAATTAAGAAACAAAAGTGCTCCTGAAATTTAATTTGCTGTACCTTTATAGTTTTTTTTTTTTACTATAATGAATCCTGAGTAGTGTAATTACCTTTAGAAGTGGTACTGAATAAAGCTACCAATTTAAAATATTGAACAAAGTGTAGATTTGTGGCCAAAATGCTGCTTGTGAAAGAATTATTCTATCTATCTACCTATCTTGCTTGCTACTTTATGAAAATGCTGCTTGTCCCTTAACAGTGTATATTATTATTTTCTTTAAACTACTTATTAATTTTAAAAATGAAATTACCATAACAAAACATTAAAAAAAGAGTCTTATATTACAAAAAGCTACAGAAGCTGCCATAAGAATGAAAATAAATGTGCATACACATCCAATAAATTATTACTACCAACAGCTGGCTAAAATACAGGCCTTGGTAAAATATAATTAAAATTATAAAGATTCTAAAACTGTAATACTGGAGTTTCCCTTCTGATCAGACTTTAAAAATGATTTTGCCAGTCTAAGAAAAATTTATTTATAAAGCATCGTAGTTTTTGATCAGTGTGTATTGATTTGAAGACTGAAGCAGTTAAAGGGAAGAAAGGTTATTCTGTGGTTACTGCACAGACTTCTGAATTGCTCTTCCTGGATTGCAGTTCTGCTTGTGCTACCTATTTGTGCAGCATCTAAAGAAGTCCTAGACTAATTGAATTATTATATCTGTAATAAACTCATGTAGGTCTTTATTTGCAAAGAAATCAGATGTCTTGGGATGCACATAGGTAATACTGTTTTTTCCAAAGTACCTCAGGCACTAATTTCATTCTTAGAAGCCTAAATATCTCTAAAACATAGTTCTGAGAAATCAGGCCCCATTAAATTTAAATGATGTGCAGGCTATATGTGCACTGGTAGTGCTCTCCTGGTATGGAAATAACAATATTCTAATGCAGTTAACCGCTCCAAGAGGAAATTCAGTAGGAACTGCAAAGTGATGCATATTAAGCCAGCATCAGTACATTAAATTACCCTCTGAGTGAAACAAGTTAAATTGGTCAAATTTCAGGTATACTGATCAAGCAGCATTACTTCTGGGAACTCTGCTGATGTAGCATGTCAGTCACACTTAATAAGCCTTAGTACCCTGCAGTAACTTAACTTTCAATAGAAACCAATTCAGAGGACCTGTCCTCTCTTCCTAAATGACTTGTGAAGCGAGTCTTAATCTCTGAAGCCAGGCAGAAACCTTTAGAAGGCTGTAGTTTTGTTCCTAAACACTTGCTTACAAATATTCTCTGTTCAAAGTTATGAGGAAAATTTTACAAAAGGCCCTTTCTAAACCTATGACTTTTGCATTAAAAAAGCAACATGAAGATTGGAGATACTGCGGTCCAAGTGCCTTTATTCTTTGAAGGACAGAGGTTCAAGACCTCTCAGCTGAGAATTAAGAACTAATTTGGAACACAAGTCTCCCATTTTAGCTCATTTATAGATTTTGGGTAGAAGGTGGGCAGCACCCTATCAAGACATGAAGGTGTGGTTTACTTTATTTCTCTTGCTCTTCTTCTTGGAGGCCTCTTAGTTAAAAGTCCTTGAGAAGTTGAAATTTGTGGTGCACACAGAGTGCAGGTATCAGATTTATCTTAGAAATATTGCTGTAATTTAATAGTGAGGTATCCACAGAGACCAAGAAGAGAAAATTAACTTTGGTGCTTGACTGTCTGTTTCAACTAGATATTATTTCACCAATTTACATGACAGTCTTAAAGGACAGAAAGGGTTTTTTGGAAAAAAAAATGGAATAAGCAAGAAGGTCTTGGTATCCTGCCAAGGTGCAACTGCATGAAACCTTGCTTATAGAGTGCTTTGAATTCTTTAAAGAAAAGTGTAATAAAACTGCAGGTTATTGTTATGAAACATACAGAGACTTCCCCTCTCAAACTTTCCTCTTGCATTGTCTGTGACAATCACATATTTTCCTGCTTGGCTTCCATCCTCTGTTCTTTCTAATACAATTAGCTGTTGGCAAAACTGCTTTGAACAGTGGAAAAACAGGGAGTTAACAAGTGCACAAACTCCTCATATGTCACAGAGAAGATTTTACGTATTTTTATGGTAATATTTAAAAATTTACCTCTCATGGGAATATTATTCAGACATTTGTAATTGAGCTTGACCTTCTGCCACATTGTTGTATATGTTCTACAAGCTTATGGATATGCATAGGTTTATGTGAATAGTTGATTTCTGAGATAGAAAATAAAGATCCTGAATTCTCTGCTGTAAGAAGCTCAGAGAATTTAGTACCAAGCTACAGCTGAGATACTGAGATTGTAGAAATGTTGTATTCTGATTACTTAAACATAATGTATGGTATTTACACAGCCTCAGTTTTAAAGCAATTATTTTCTTTATGTGCTCCTAAGTGAACCGAATGCAGCTTGTTTTCCTTCCTGTCTTTACACTAAACATCATTCAGTCCTGAAGCCATGATGGGAAAAGTGTTTAATTTTCTTTAGAACTATAAAGCACTTTGGCAGCTTGCTGCTTTGTGCTGCACTGCTGCATGCAGGTACTTATCCCAACCCCTACTGAGTGCTTCGAAGTCATCTTCATGCTAAGATATGCCCGTAGCCAGCTGTTGCTCCCTCTCCTGACATTACTACACTGCCCTTAACCTTTCTTTTGCAAGCTTTGCTGTCGAGGCCCGTGTGTTGTGTGGTCTGCTCAGGACCCTTAGCTCAGCTCTGTGCTGCAGGCACAGCCACCTGAGAACCACCTGGGAGCTCTGCCTTCACTGAGGGCTGCCAACCCCCCTACACCAGTCCAGAACTCTGAGCATGGCCTGTTCACCTTAGCTGGGCATTTCAGCTGGGAAAAAATTTGACTGCTCATTTCCTGCAGATGCTGTAGAACAGCACAGGCTTTCCTCAATTTATTATGCAGTTTCACCTTCCTTTTGTTCTCTTGTCACTGAATTACAGGTAAGTAAGATGATTGCAATTACTGAAAACTCTGTGGTTTGTGCAGCATTAGATTTTTCTGTAATGAGCCGTCATTATGATTTGGGATAAGCTTGTTTTGCTTGAATGGTTTATCAGAGGTTTGGTGTCTGTTAATTGGTTTTTTTGTTGTTTGGCTGTGCCTTTTTCTTTTCCCTCTCCTTTGTCAATTTTCATTCTCTGTTTTGTTTGGATTTGAAGAGAAAAACTTTTTTTTGTTTATTTAATGCTTCAATTAAACTACTCTACAGTCTTATTCAAGCATATCACTGCTGGTATTAAAGAATAGAAACATATTGCCAGCTGCTGGACAAAAGTCAGGGACTGCTTTTAAGGAATCTATGCAGCATTACTGATGCAAATTTGTAGTGATTTGCTGCAAATATACAGAAATATTTTGATACTGGGAGGAAGAATTTTCTCCACTGTTGGTTGTGCAGTTGTGGGATTAAGATACCCAGTGGAAAAAGATGTGTTTTGCATACAGCATTCATTGCATTTCTGTTTCTTCAGTAGGGTGACACAATACAGTCCTGCAGATGTTAGACAATGTGCCTCTCACTCTCCAGAAAAGCAATGATCCTCCTCCTTAGACTGAACTTTGTAGATCCTTTGTGTTGGGGAAGATGGAACAGGAAAGCCTTATAAATATGATTGCCTGGCAAAAGATTTTGAGAATACAGAAACTATAAGCGAGATTGAAGTGAAAGCAAGTTTTGAGATCCCTTAGTTACTGAACAACTGGAAAACAATGGTGTGGCCAGCCGAAGGTAATCCCCTCTTGATGAAACAATACCCTCTGCAAGCAGGCAGGTCCAAGGGTCAGAGCAGACCCTGCAGCTTGGCAGATAGGGCCCAAAGAGTAAGATTTAGTATAGTAATGTAGTGATTCTTATAGGTTGTATGGAAATGTTATAGGATATGCATGCTGTAGTAGATTGGTTGATGAGAATCTGAATATTCAACACTGAAGATGATTTATTGTATTGTAACGGGAACTTCACGCTCTTTCCTCGCTCTGTTTTCGTGCTTCCTCTCCTCTCCTCTCCTCTCCTCTCCTCTCCTCTCCTCTCCTCTCCTCTCCTCTCCTCTCCTCTCCTCTCCTCTCCTCTTCTCTTTTTGCGCTCACTTCTTCTTCGTCTTCTCCTCTGCACTTCTTCACCCCCTCCTTTCTACATGGTCTCCACTCTTAAACCTTTGTCTTTAACTCTCTTACACTTTAAGCCTCTCTTCTCTCGGGCCTGCTCTGAGCTGTGGCTGGCAGCTCCTAGCAGGGCCCTGCACCCAGGCCCTTTGCAATAAACCGATAGTTCCACGACCTGACTGCAGAGATCTCTCGTCTCCGTCCGTCCTGACCGTGTGTGACCCCCGTCACTCCTACAGACGTTCTTACACCTTTGCCTTTGCCCTGCACCGGAAGAGGTTTCTTGGGCCTGTAGTGAGGGGACACAAGCTTCCACCAGTGTGTAAGGGAAAGCTCCTGTGTTACAGCACATGTATTCACTTGTACAAAGCTGGGTCTCCATCAAATACTACAGAGTTCAATGGCTGTACATCTGGTTTTCTGTGTTCAGAACGTTTTACTTAATCACTATGCCCTTGTTTGTAAGCACAGTTTAATGTCAATAGTAGGAATAAAGCAAAAACAGTCATATGTATAATCTGAGGAACTGTGCTACAAACTGGGTCACTGAAAAGGCTCAGCCTGTAAATAGATATTTTGGAGTTGTTATTTGACACTCTGAGCAGTTGCCAACAGCTTGCCTGGCTGAGTGCAACCATCAACTTTTTATGCAACTCAAAACTCTTCACACGGTCAGTTCCCAGGTTTCTCAATTCTTCTAATGGCCTATTTGAGGAGTTCTGTGGTACATGCAAAAACTCTTCCAAATCAAAGGCTCTCTCTCTTTCTGTCTGATGTTTCCTGGGAGATATATATCTTCATGTTTTGTTTTGTTTCCATGATTGCTTTTTTTCCCCCAAGATCTATGTAATTTCCATTTGGCATACAGTACACAACAGATTTAACAGAGCAACACAACCCTGCCATAACTGACTGCTAAAAAATGCTGTCTCATTAAATGTCAGCCTGGATCCCTAATTCTGTTCTCATCTCTGATTTTTGTGGCTTCAGTCAAAACACTTGAGCCAGGATGATAACCTTTACTCACCTGCAGATGTGTGTTACTGCCTTGTGCACTAAGGACCTTGATTGTTTCTGTGACTTAAATATATTTATTTTACATGTTTTATCATGATTTACTCTTCTTCTAAGCTGGCCAACCAATGCCCCACGGACTCCCAATTGGGAAGATGAAGTACCTAGTTAGTGCACAGAGCTTTGCAAATGTCTGGAGATACACACATATTTTATGAAAAAACATGCTCTTCCATGACTTATTTTGCTTCATGTCTCACACATTGCATGGCATGCTAACAGCAAACAGTTTAATATACTTAGAGGCACTGTGGTATGTGATACCACTGATCTAAGCAATCCATAGGAATGTCTGTTACCTCACCTTGCTGCATGCTTTTATTTCCTTAACAGACAAAAATATTTCTAAAATAGACAGGATTATAAAAAATAAGTAGTAGGACAGTCTGGATTTTACCAATTTTAATACATTACTTGTTACTTGAATAATTCAGTGTGACAGGAGGCTTCCAGATATGCAACTTGAATTCCAAAACTAGTTCACATGTACATGATAATTCTTAGCAAGCAACTTAACGTTTTGCATTTTTAAAGCATAATCTCCTAGTAGTGAAGAGGAGAGGATAAAAACCATTCTTGATGCATGCAGGAAAAGAAACAGAATATATAAGTTCTAGATAAGATCTGTATGTTTGTATGTTTGTAGTTATAGATTAGAATTGGATCCATGTTTATATTTGCTATGTTTTCCTTCCATTTAAGTCAGTTAAATTGGATTAGAGGAGTGTCAAAGATGCAGTGTGCAGCGATGGCACTCCTGTCTATATTCATCAAAGAAGCCTACTTAAGTGAAAACACGAGGCACAAAACTGTTATCAGTTACTATTTCTTTCTATTGTGCATAAATCATTTTGCTTTAAAGCGTGTAACAGGAATGCATGGAACACATGGGAAGAGAGGAGCTTCTCTGCATTTTGCAGGGACCATGAGCACACTCATCCTGCCTCTGTGCCGCTTTGTCACCCCACTTCTGGGCAGACAGTCCAGTGCTGTGCAGTACAAAGGGAGGGGATCACAGGTGAGGAGGCGGCTATCCAAAGGAGCCCAATTCAGTGTTTTCTGCTGTAAGATCTGTCTCGCTGTAAGTGTGTGCAGGACTACTGCATGTCTGAAGTGGCATGGTTTGGTGCCTTTAGATCTTCCCAAGTGCAGTTTGAGGATAAGGGCGAAGTTGTTCATGAGTCTCAAGAACCTGGCAGTGTGGCAGGAGCTGCTGTTGGGTGCTCTGTGTGCTCCCATGAGTTTTACAGCTGGAGTGCTCTGGGTCTGATGTGTCCCCGCTGCACTGTGCTTGCTCTGCACAGCTCACGCTGCAAGTGGGAGCCTGGGCACAGAGTGCTGCCCTGAGTAATGTGCCTGTAATGCTGAAGGCCTTCACCATCCCTTTTGGTTTGGTTCTGGAAGTTCAGCCAAGTGAGATTTCTTAGTCCTACCTGCACGTGTACCTGCCTTACTCCATCTGAACAAGCTTTGACTGTAGATGGAAAAGGGATTTCTTCCAAATCACAGATTGAGTCAGTCTATGAGTTTCTCAAATAGGACTTTTGAAGAAAAGCTTAACATTACATAGTAATAAGCCCCTCTGTCTTACAATACAAATGGCTTATCAGTTGAACCCTGTAACTAAATTACATCTTCTACAATACCAAATCATTGTTCTAAGAAAGAAAGCAAGCAGGTAGAAAATGATATCAAATAATACTGACACTTTAGGCAGTACAGAATGAAAAAAGTGAAAAAGCTGAATGTTATTGTTTCTTACCACTTCTCTTATTATCTCATGAAGCTCATTTGTATGACCTTTAGCCACTTTTACTTGATAATATATGGTGTAGTATTCTTGGGCAGAGAGTGAGTCAGTTAATCTTCCTGTCAGAGGGGTACTCTTGCAATTCACACGGTAGCTGGAATTAGAAACTGGTGAAGCTACAGATGAGACATCATGTTCTGCAGCAAGGAGGCTTATTAATGTTCCCCATGCTGGTACTCCAGGATTGACCATCTGGTTCTGTAAATAACAAAATTAATTTACATGTTGACCAACTAGCAACAGTTTCCATTATGCTAAACACCTGTTATCACTTAAAGCCATTTCACTGAATATGATGCATTAGCTGTATATTATTGGTGCTGAGGAGGAATCCAGAAATATGTCATCCACTTACATGGTTCAGGTGTTGCTTAACCAATCTATTAAATTTGCTGAAGAGTTTATACAAGAAACAATTGTATCTAGGAGGAACACAAGAGAGCATTGTTAATTATCTTAAATATTTCTGATTACTGCTTTAAAAATACACTCTTCTGTCTGTTGTGGTATGAGATGTATGTGAGAATGACTATATGATGTATGCCAGTCACTCTTCTGTTTATTTCAGGCTTTTATCCAACAATTAAGGATAAATATGTGCAGATATTATTATATTCTTATTACTGGTAGGTGAAAAATGTCTAGAGAAAGCTGTTAGAATTTGCAAAACCAATGTCACCAGACAAATCTTGCAATAATCTATCAGCTAGAGAGGGAGAAAGCTTCTAGTCTTGCAAGAAATGGCTTCTTGCTTTTCACTTCCCAAGGATCTGTGGACTTAAAATATATTGCATGGTATTCCATGAAGGAAAAAAACCTTTCAGATGCCAGGCAAAAACTTTTGGGTTGCCAATATATGCCATATTATTTATTATTTATAAATAGTAATATTATAATTACAAATGTATGAAATATATTTATAATTATAAAATTATTATTTATTAGCTTTGTAGAGCAAACTGAAGACTAGAAGACTTCTGGATAAATAAGCATTTATTATGGACTGAAATTTTTGGAAGGTAGGATGGCCTGTATGCTGACTCGGATTAATTTGCTCTTAGCCAGCTGCATAGCCACAAATAAAATCTTTTTGTAGCACAATGAACTTCATCTCCTAATTTGTTCCAATATGGATAATCAGCAAGCCTCTTGTCTGAGGTCTAGACAGGAATCCAATATAAAAATGAGACACAGCAAAATCATCTGTCTAGAAATGAGGCATATGTCTGTCTGCCAGCTAGATTTTGGGTTTTTTACTCTTTCCGTATCCTTTACTGGCAATTTGCTTTTCATATTTAATTTAAACAGCAACAAAATTTTTCTTTCACTTCAATACTTTCAGTCTCAGTTCACTGCACATACAAAGCTTGCTATGAACATTCGGGTTCAAGGTGAAGTTTATTTGTTTGAGTTTCCTGTGTCTTGTAGTCCTAGAAGGATGTGTATAACAGTTAGATGTGTGTAATAAAACCACACAGTTAATTGAACTAGAAACTTGAATGTCTCTGAGTATTTTCCAGAAGGTTGTGCATGAGGCATTGACAAAGCTACAGGGCAGCCACACTTCTCTTCAATATGCCCTCAAATGATTTTACAGATTCAAATGTCTTAACTCATAGTAAAACAAACTAACACCATGTAAGTCAAGATCTGTATATGAAATATTTCTTTGAAATTAATGATTTTATGCAGTAAAAATGAGCTAAGTGGACTGTCTGAAGGCAACAAGGACTTTGGAAAAAACTGCTCAGCCGGGAGTATTTCCATTCAAGTGACTTTCCATGAAGATCCTCAGTCCATTTCAAACACAACAAACAGGAACACGAGTAGAGAGAAGAGAGAGCAAAGAAAGAAGTCAAGCATAAAGAGAGGCAAATAAAAATTTTCAATTAGTCAAATGCTTAACTGCTCACCTCTCTCTTGGGTGCAATAGAATGACAAGTGAAAGCACAGGGCCCTGAATTTAAATTTGCTGATGTCTGACACTTCTGTCTCTTTAGACACTCACAAAATACTGTTTAAAACTTGTAATATTAAATAAAAAATAGTGTTAATCTATTTAAATTGGCACACCCTTTAGAGTTTGAGGTATTAAAATGTAATGATGATTGTTGTATACTTATGGCGGAAAGGTTTTGTTGGAAGGGAATATGTGAAGGTTATGCAGTTCAGTCTTGATGCTACATGAACTTCTGTTGACGTGGCATGATGTCTTGTAGAACAGTAAAAATGCATTAAAGGGGAACTAAAATAAAATTCAAATGGAATTTCAGAAACTGAGGCACATAATTTTTAATCACAAAAAAATCAGGGGATGTGCTTCATGCAGCCACCCCAAAATCTATTTTAATTCCAAATCAAAATAAAAAAGGCAAACATATTTTCATTTTACATTAGGTAAAGAAAATTATCTTCTTTTTTTAGCAAATTGTAAGACATTCCTCTGCTAAATGGACACAATTCTTCAGGAGCAAGCCCTTAATTCTTTTAGGTGAAGGATCCAATCAGTAAATATTGTAAAAAAATCAGGAGTGTGGGAAGTCCACTATGGAAATGACTATTATTTCCAATTCACCCTAATCAACAGAGAAGGTGAGACTTCTCTGGGGTGTGATCCAGGCAGGAGGTAGCCATATTCCCCTATTGAAGGGACACTGCACTGACTTTAGAAGTAGCCATTGTGACTCAGCAATAATGACCTACATGCTTAGTAAATGGAACTGGAAGGATGTGTGTCCTGAAAGAGCCTTTCCTTTCCTATAAGTTTAGAGGGAGCTTGAGATGGCCAGCTCAGATAAAAATATCAATATTTGGTTAAAAGAAACCCGTCCTAGCAGTGAAGAAGTGTTAACAAGTAGCTGAAGGATAAAAACCAGCTACTACTTTACACTAATGGAAATAGTTGATGTACACTAACTGCTGACATTGTATTGCCTTGTGTGGTTGAACACAATATCTGATGTTTTGTCTATACAAGTCTGTGTAAAAGCCAAACAAAAAGAAGAATCTTCAAGATGTCGTGAAGAGAGAGATTGCATTAAATAAACAGACTCTTCCTTTTCTGTATGCTTTTGCAATTACATATATGAACAAAACCAGCAAAATTTACTCTGTTTTACATTTGTCGTAATTGTTCTTCAAAGGCAAAGTATCTATATAGACAAATGAAAAAAAAATAAATGCAGACAAGTTGCATCTCTGAAGGTTTGAAATAGTCTTCCTGTCTCACTGGGTCTTTTATTTGTTTGTATGCTGCTTTTATTTTTTTCAAAGTAGGAGTCAGTGACACAGGATTTTTTTTAAAGTATTGCATATTTAATTAGCCACTTTCACTCTTCTTGAACTGAACTAGTGGTAAGTGAAACTATCCTCTTCTCCTGGCAATTTGGATTGATTTGAGAGTAAGACATTTGCCCTAAGGGAGAGAGGCATTGCATCTGCATAGAGCTGAACAAATGTTTTTTAATTAATGATTTATTCAGCTTATGCACTTCTTTGTTGGTGTGTAACAGAACACCCCTGGGAAGATCACTGAAAGAAGAGGCTGAACTTGGGACCTTGAATCTGAAACCAGGAATGTCTACTGCCAAAAGCCATGTCTTTGTTTAACAAAGCTGCTTCGGCATCGTAACCCCAGGATGGGGTCTCTCCACTCCAGAGAGTGTTGCTTCCCTGGGTATCAGTCAATCACTCTCTAACTGTCTGCCTGACACCCAGTCAAATCCAATCTTTTATTAAGTAATTAAATTTATTGAATTACCTGGAGCCCATTTAGGTGACCTAAATTAGCATAACACTAATAATATACCATGTTTAACAGAAGAAATACAAGATGCAGCTTTTCCCTGCCAGGTTTCCAATCCCATTTCTTGCTGAGGTTACTGGGTTGCTGTAGTAGACCAGGAGCAGTCATTTCTAGCCTCTGTCCCTCTTGACACAGCCTGTATTTATGCCATGGGAGCCCAAACTTTGCTGGATTTAACTCTGAAGAAAAGGACAATTTTGGGTGGAGATCAGTTTTGAGGCAAGGGAATTCCCTTTTTCTGCTGTGACTTGTCAATTCTTTGATCTACCTTGCTTGGATGTCATCGGAGTTTTTAACAAATTCTTATTAACTTATAAAGAAAGAAAGAGAAACTACACCAGGCAAGGTCAAAGACTAGCTCAGCCTGATGCCTTTAACAGGGAGGGCAGCAAATACCTGGGGAGATGACATGAGGACAGGAACAACCATCAGGTAGTGCTTCTCTTCCCTGTAGGCACTTGAAGGTTTGGCAGAGCTCCCAGCCCAGGCACTGCCCACAGGCTGTATCCATTCAGACTGATCAAAGTTCAATCAAAAGTTAATTATGGCTCTTGGCACCTCGTGCTGACATCAGGGAAGCAGCAGAGATTTCTGGGGGGTTTGGTGTGGTGATTTTGCATACTTATATAATTGCAGTGAGTAGTGGCTGCTTGTTTGCCAGGAGCTTCATGAGCAAGGTCACTCCATGCCGACAGGACAAGTTCCATAACCCTTGTGCAGGTGAGGGACTTTCTTGAACATCTTATCTATATAGAATCATCACCAGAATAAATTCAGAGGAGCATTCTTCTCCGGGAAACATGTGCAAGGATTACATTATAAACATTTATGAAAGGACAGAGGAGGTTTTTTCAGTCCAACATGACACCCTGAGCAATGTTACTTGTTTCTGCTGCCACACTGGACAAGCTGTAACTCTGCTTCCAGGGGGCAGCTGGTGTTTATGGGTGCCATGATCTCTGAGAACAGTCACTCCTGTCATATTAATTTATGAGGAATGGAAAGCACTGTTTTCCATTCCTGCTAGATAGAGTAAGACTGTGAAAAAAACCTTCATGTTCATGAAAGATAAAATGATCACAAGTACTGTTAAAAATTTTTTAATTCAAAATTTATATATCAACTTTGTCTATATCCCAAAGTGAACAAAACGTAACAGCCTCAGTGGTGCAGGGTGGATGTAATAAATGTCGGAGTCTTGCTATAGCTGTAAAAAGACAGTCATTAGCCCCAGTTACTGGTGTTGTGAAGTGTTAGGGGGTCCTACAAAACTCTGGATAGTACAAACTGCTGGCAGACAATGCCCTGTGCTGATCAATCAGGTAGCAGCTGCCATTTAGCTGAACTCAAAACAGTTAAAAGGAGCTTCCTTTTGCTGCTTCTTCCT